TCCCTAAGTTAGATGCTTTATAATTCCATGGCCCCAGCTGTAGTTATAGAGGGTTTTTTGCACATTATTCTTATAGTCGATAGGTTTATACTGATGGCCACAAACAACGGCAGTTCAAATTTCACTGATGTGTTCATGAGCTGAGAGATTTCTCTCCACTATTTCTGTTGTGCACACAGGTTTGTCCAATATGCATGGACCGTATTGGGTATGGTACCTGCTCTGAGAAGGGAATCGCTGGAGCCACAGTCCAACTATACAGGCTTTCAAGAAACAGAGAGGAGCCATCTTTGCAAGCTGATACCTGATGTGTACCGACAGAATTCTCACGAGATAGCTTACAGACTACGCCTGGTGTATACTTCATAGTACTCCTTCGATTACTGTCTAGAATCAAGTCGACTGAAGCAAGTTCAAACATCTCTGGCTTCAAACGAGCCGTCGATTAGACAAACAAAACATTCTCTCATATACTAGAGCACTCTGACAACTCACGACCTATTCCTAACGATTGCCACCGCTTATAAATATGTAGAGTACTGATTGGAATGTGCTCACAATCTCAACAATCCAGTGCTATAATTATTTGAACTATGTGTTCCTTCCATAAATGTTGTATCCACATATAATCCACAGTGCTGCAAAGTTTCAGAGTTCTCAGGGTATCAAACAAAATTATTTCAAATACAGTGAAATAGTTCGTGGACATTATAGCGTAACTTGTAGTTCCCTGGTCCTTTTCTTTGCTATAAATTAATCCTTTGCTCTCTAGCCACCGGCGAGTCCAACAGTGAAATTATCAGTTCATATTTATGTGGGTATGTGTGTGTGTGTGTGTGGGGGGGGGGGGGGGGGGGGGGGGGGTGAACATATTTCTATATAAGGGACCTGCAACTGTAATACCACAGTACAGTAGATAGCAAATATGTAGAAAACAGAAATGCATGTTCCCATCATTGTACATGGACGGGCGCAGCAGGCCGAAGCTATCAGCCAGAACAGGATTTACCATCGCCTAGAGATACTTGAGCTATTCCAGTATTCTCCGTGAGCTGTCCCATTCCACAATGGTTCATGCCACCATTATTTCTGGTAGTATCCATGTGCATAATTCCAAGAACATCTCGGATTCTTCAGCAATTTGTGCCACGGCAAAAGACAACGCTTGACTTGGTCACTGGGGCTGTCAAACTTGGCACCACAAATGAACTTCAATTTCTCATCTGGTTCAAGTATATGTACTGCCATGACTTGACCATGCTTCATCCACAGCTGGGCGAAGATTGTGGCGTTGAATTCCATAGCGCACCTTCTTGCTGCCATGCAGGAATATGTTGAGAGAAGTGAACATATTTTTACTAAAAAAACAACAGCCACTGAAGAGGATAGCATTAGCAATAGCCTTGGGTGAATTTCCTGCAGGTACACGTTGTTGGTAGGTCTACTGGTCGGTCTCCATATCGTCAAGTTCAGAAATCACCTGTACTACACATCTTGTAGAAGGGATCCTGATCGAAAAATGTTCTGATCATAAAATTCACTAAACTGAGGGCGAGACAAATAGTCAGTACTCCCCGATTCCGTCTAGCTGCTTTGATCAAGTGATGCTAACAAGCTCCCCGTTGTTACTTCCAGCAGCTTCACTTTCCCTGCGACAGCGGCTATCAACCTTTCTGTCCATCGTCGACAATTATCACAGATTCAACATTCTACATTTGTCAGCACTGCACTGGGTGAATATGTCTCGAGACGAATTTAGCGGATCAACAACGCTTTGCTGGAGATAAATTCTCCTCTGGAGGACCTTCAGGGTACCTGGAAGGGTATAGAAGACGGGATCGCTCACGACGTTGAGAGAACATAGAAAACAACCTCCTCTTCGATTGAAAATTGGCCAAAAAGTATGTGAAATGTATGTGCGCAGATGCACTTCCACTGGCAAGCTAATCCCTCATTACGTCATCAGCGCTCGCTCGGCCGAAATTCAAAAGTCGTCTTCCTGCTCGACTCGATCGCTTCTGGAGACTCGTTCTTGTTCGAGGGGTCTTCTCTTTCACCAACCTTCGTCTTGGCATCGAAAACTCGGCGTCGAAAATGAAGCCGGAGTGCCCCTTTAATATTAATTAATAGTCATGCTGTCAAGACAAGAGTCTACATGATTACAACTCTTGATAATGTTGTGCAGACGTGAAGAGACCTGCTTTGTACTAATCTTGTAGTTTGGGCTTTCGGAGTTTCCACGCGGCCATGTCTTGCGAAGGTGACTGACTGGTGATGGTGAGTTGTTGTTGTTGTTGTTGTTGTTGTTGTTGTTGTTGTTGTTGTTGTTGTTGTTGTTGTTGTTGTTGTTGTTGTTGTTGTTGTTGTTGTTGTTGTTGTTGTTGTTGTTGTTGTTGTTGTTGTTGTTTTTATCAGGGAGCCGTACAAACCCTACAACTCCCTGTTTTTTAAATATTTTACATGGCAAAAACCAAACGGGCTCTTAACTTGCTCATGTATTATAATAATTATTATTATGACGGCCCGCGATATGCGATGGGGATAGTACAAAAATCACAATGTGGAAAATAGCAGCCAGCAAGACACATGACCATAACGAATCAGTGCAGCTGGTATAGACAGCCTACCGGTATTTGTTCGTGTTGTAAATGCGGCTTCTTACATTACATTATTTTGATCGTTGCCGGGGCCATGGCCAATAGGCCATCTTCCCGCCGCGGGCATAATCAGGCCATCAGGACCGTTTGACGTCATTTCGGGAGTTTCAGGACCGTTTGACGTCATGTCGGGAATGTTAGGACCGTTTGACGTCATCTCGGGAATAATTTTTCGACCTTTGACCTTCCCTAATAATATTATGTTCCCTCGCGCTGTAAGAAATCAAATCAAGCACGCTCTGTCTGTCATGATGGCTGAATCTTGACCTCATCATGACCTCCTGAGCGTGCTTGATTACATACTTCTTACATGACACGTGATCGTTGCCGGGGGCAATAGCCAATAGACGGTCTTCCTGCTGCGGGCATAATCAGGCCCTCAGGACCGTTTGACGTCATTTCCGGAATTTATTTATTTATTATTTATTTATTTATTTATTGCAGCATCTCATAGCACAGTGAGAACACCGGCCAATACAAAGAGAGAGGGTGTTAGCCAACCACGGCAAGGAAGGGAGAAGGGGAGGAGAAGAAAAAAGAAACCGGCATGGATAATTTCAGGACCGTTTGACGTCATTTCCGGAATAATTCGACCTTTCGACCTTTGACCTTCCCTAATATGTTGCTTCATGCTGTAAGAAATCAAATCAAGCATGCTCTGTCTGTCATAATGGATGAATCTTGCCCTTGCCTGTAGCCCTCGGGCCTACAGCCCTTGGGCAAGATTCAGCCATCATGACCTCCTGAGTGTGCTTGATTGCATACATGTACATCGCTGACTGAACTACTTCGAAGTACTACTGTAGTACATTCATATCTTGGCTTATCCGGGCGGTCCGGGACCAGGCACTGTCCATAACACTGAAATGCCTGCAAACGTTCGCATACGTTTCAATGGGGGGGGGGGGGAGGGCCAGAAATCTGGCATGATATCACTATTTCCACAAAAAATCGGCAAACTCCGAGTAGTAATATTTCCCGGTGACTAGTCTTAACCCAGAGTGCCCGGTGGACCGAGGCGCCGCCCGTGCTGTAACTTTGAAGTTCGGATAAGAGAGCTATGTGTGTACTATGATTACTTGATATGATTAGTTTGAGTAGAAGATGGAGGCCGCCTCGCATCCAGAGCCGATCACGCGGCCTGATTGCAACGCTAACGCCGAGACCACTGGTCGGTTGAGTTGCTCCCAGTACAACGGCACGTCGTCCCTACATCCCCTACGTCTTGTTATGTTGTTCTCCACCTGTTCCGCAATAGGGCTGTGTTCATACTTCAAGTAGAAAAAGAAAAGAAGAAAAATCACAATCTGGAGGGCAAGCTGTATTGACATGTGTTGCTAGTAAAGCCTAGTATAAGACTGATTGTACTTTGAAGTTCATGGCTGAGTCAGGTTTTTCTACCTAGACCCACACAGTCATGTATTCACACTTGCCTGTGGATACGTTTAGGCCACAATGGGAGCGCAAGCAGCTACTCCAATGCAAATGCTGCTGATGCGTACCAGCTAAACATAAGCAGCTGCATGAGCACTCGAACACACTGCAGAATACTGTAAAGCCGGAATATTTCGGTGGATTTTGCTTTCGGTAACTTCAGTACGGGTAATTTTTACCTAAAATAAACGCGAGAAATGAGCGAGTATGCATTTGTCCGACATGTAGTCCGTGGTGATTTGACATCTTGACCCCATGCCATGGGGCCAAGGTTGCAGAAAAGTTGCGAAATAGTTCGCGAAAATGAAGAAAGTTGCGGAAGTTAGTTGCGGAAGTTGCAACGGAAAGTTGCGAAACAAGTGGCGAGCATCTTTGGGAAAGGGCTAATGCTGACGTGGAGTCACACTGCATTTTTTTGCTTTTGCCGTTGCCGCTGGATGCATGCACTTCACAAAACCACTGTGTGGCGAACCAAATCCCTGTGATAGAGTATGGTATGGTACGCCATTTTTCGAAAGACCGTTTTTCATGCAAGTGCATACAGTGGCAGCGTCAACGCAGCCGACTTTTTTAAAAGTTTTCTTGCGTCTACGCTCAAATTTCCCGCGTTTTCGCCAGTTGCCATTGAAAAACTCATGATTCTGACACTGACACAGCATCTTTGCCGTAGTATAGTGTTTCAGTGGCAAGTCATGTTCTCTCCGGAGAGTAGACTATATACGGTACATGCGACTCACTACACAGAGCCAAGCGCAAATAACCTCACAATTGACAGTACATACAATGAAAGAACGCCGGTTCTTTCCTTTTTCTGTTGCTGCAGACCCCATGCCACCGGCATAGATCCGTACTGTGACTTACATATCACAACTAGAGGGCATGCAGCCACATCAAGAAAACAGGGAACACTGGGTACGGGGAATAGGACACATGTACATCTTTCTACAGCCGTGGGGTAAGAGGCGACAGCCGTGGACTGTCCAGTGGCAAATGGGAAAATTCTAATTCTGAAAGAGTTGCCCAGTTTCTCAAGATCTTGAACTGAGCACATGGTCTATTGCACTGCTGCTGTCTGGTAAAAAGGAGAACTTGTCTACTGTGTTAGGAAATTGAGAAATTGAAGAAATTGAGAAATTGAAGAAATTGAGAAATTGAAGAAATTGAGAAATTGAAGAAATTGAATAGTGTATTGCTCCCTACATGGGAGCTCGCGGTTTTCCTCCCATGTAGGGAGCAACACACTCTTCCCTTACTATCGCCGAAGTCGCACCACCCTCTTCTTCACTTTGAAGAAATTGAGAAATTGAAATAGCAGCAATAAAGGTAAATTCACACGTGAACAATTGTAATATTTCAGCTGTACAAAGATAGACCTACTTGTAGAAAAACTAAAATTTTATCGGTTCGGTTTACTTGGAATTTGAAAATAAGTCTTTGTACCATTCACAAAATTCTAGCGAGACAAACTTTGCAATCTATACACTGTAACTAGTGAATGCACATTTCTATTCTAGTGTTGCATCAGCTTCAAGATGCTGCATAGCAATTACGGTACCGAGCTCACCAAACTGTTCCGCTCACCTTAGACTAAAAAATGATACTAACACAGCCTACTCCATGACCAGCGGCACCATGATGATATTTGGTGGGCTCTTGTTGTTTGGACTGGAGAAAATAAAGAATACTACATTGGTGCTGCGAGCGGGGTAGGTAGTGAATAAAGACTACTACAGTCATGTGACTTGGGGAGATCAGGTTGCTGTTTAGTGTTGGCTGCTGCTATCAGCAGTGCCAGTGCACGCGGGAATAAACACGACTGAAATGAAAATAGGACGTATTGCTGGCCGGCAAGTTTCTGTGTGCTAATAGCTTACTTCAACGGATTAACCCCGGTCTCCATCTGTATGATACCCTCTGCATAAGACCTTGTGAGCCGAGCGGAGGACGGCGCACTATTTCCTGGTTCAATCAGCTGCCCTAGCAGCTGGGGTCCACATCGTGGCCATGATTCTCTCCGGGTTCAGGGACAAGTCGCTCTCGAGATCAGACTGCTCGCTGAAAGGTTCGGAGACCATTGGCGATGGCGTATCGATCGGAGATAGGCATCTGTCAGCTGTTCCCAACCTACCCCACTGTGCTGCAGCCGCATCGATTCCAATGCCGCACCGGCCGGCTTGAGTTTGATAGCCAATCGAGGGAACCATGCCTGTAGGCATGCCGTCCGCCTGGCTAAAGTCCATTGCGAACGGCAGAAGCATATTCTGATTTGTCATGTTGCTGTTGCTGTTACCGCAACTGCTTGCCTGCATGCTCACGTATGATGCCAAGCTCTGAATTGAGGACAGTGGGGTCTGCATGGTAGCGAGCAAACGAGAACAGTACAGCACAACAATACAGTCAACTTTGCGTGTAACGACACTCAGCGGGGCATCCGAAAAGTGTCCTTATTCAAGAAAGTGTCGCTATACCCGAAGTCTCATTGTATGTATACAGTTAAAGGGGAAGTCCGGTGAAAAATTTAAATTTCAGGGTCGGTAGAGTTTCGGGCGCTGAGTCGAATGGTGTTGGTCCCACGTGTCTCCGACAAAGCGTTATCAAGATATTTCCGTTTGAAAAACTGAGTTTCGGGGGCTGCGCCATGACGTCATGCGGCCGCGCCACACCCTCTGCAACGTCATAGCGTGCAGCTAGGTCAAAAGGAGTGCGTGAAAGCAATAGTGTCAGTGCTATTTCAAAATGATTTGGCGACTGATATTAGGTGGTGCAAGCGACCCCGAAGACCTGTAACTCCTTGTGAGAGTGAGGATGCAGCATGGCTGACCTTCATGAGTTCGGTCTGGGGCTGAGAACCTCGGTATTCAGCTGAAGAAATGGCCGCGCGGGCCCGTCAAGAGTGAGCGCTACTGAGTTTCCGACTGATGAAGAAGCAGCAGCTATTGCAGACGAGGCTGCTGTAATTATCAGATCGCTGGAGAGCAGGGTCGCCAAAATGGAGAAGAGTGATGCGAGTGCTCTAAATGTTGTTCCATACCGATTCGATTCGCTTAGACTCCAGTAGCCTGCCACATGGTGATGTTTTGGTGCGAACTTGGAATATTTCGGACTACTCAATTGGAGAACAGTGCAGGCTCTTTGAACCACGGGCACGACTCTTCGCTCGCAACGCTATGGAATCTGGAAGTTCTAGGTCCGGGAGCTGTTCCCTGTTTTGTCACTTGTCACGGTTGTGCACTCATCGCTGTAGCATAGAATAATGAGGCGGGAGCGGAAAACTAAAATTTTCTTTCTCAAAGCACAATCACCGGCAAGGAGAAACGCACGTAAGTCGTTCTCTGACTACATGACTGTACAATACGACTGATACGAGTGTAGTACATGACAAGTCCGTGTGTTGACTAGTTTTCTGAGTCTTGACTCTTGTGTCAGTTGTGACTCGAGTCTTGTTGTAGAGACTACCCCAGCACGGCAGTGCGGGAGTAGTTCCGTCTGTGATGAGTTTGTTGACTAAACCACAGCTAGATAACACACTGCATGCACGCAGCGCACAGCGCGGAGAGGCTGACGGAAAAAGTCCAACTCGGAAACGGCTAAAATACGGTATAACCTCGAGGTTTACCGAGCTGAAAATCACAGGGTACGTAGTGTTTGTAACACTGAATCGAATGGTCTAGGTCCGAAGAAGCTGCGACAAACAGTTCCCCAATCGAACGCGCTCCGAATATGGCCATTTATGTACACAACTAGATGGTGTGGCTACCGGGCTGCACGCTGTGACGTCATCACCTGGATCTGGGTGATGCGCGCTCAAATTCGCACATGTTCGATTGGGCGTATCTGACGAACCATAAGCCGCAGCCTCCTCGGACAAAGACCATTCGACTCAGCGACCCGAACTCTACGGACTGTGAAATTTAAATTTTTCACCGGACTTCCCCTTTAAATGGGACTTGGCTCTGGGCATGGAAAGTCTGTCGTTATTCGCGAATTGTCGTTATATCCGCAGCCGTTATTAGCGAAGTTGACTGTAATTCAATTTCATAGCCATCTTGCAGACACGACCTTCAATGGAGATGAAAGATTGAACAGCGGAATGATGGGAATGATGGGAATGATGGGAATGATGACATATTCTGCTATGTCTCACTGTAGTATTGACATGTTCTTACTATGAACACAGCCTTGCTGGGCACAGCCTTGCTGGGCACAGCCTTGCTGGGCACAGCCTTGCTGGGCACAGCCTTGCTGGGCACAGCCTTGCTGGGCACAGCCTTGCTGGGCACAGCCTTGCTGGGCACAGCCTTGCTGGGCACAGCCTTGCTGGGCACAGCCTTGCTGGGCACAGCCTTGCTGGGCACAGCCTTGCTGGCAAACATGTGGAGAACAACAAAAAGCAAGACACAGCAGGGGCTGTAGAGACGAAGTGCCGATATACTGGGAGTAACTCGACCGACCAGTGGTCTAAGCGTTGGCCATGTTAGCAGTTTGGCACACGCTTTGTAGTCTCCTCTGCACCGGTGGACGTATGATATTCCATGCATTGCAGCACAGTTCACTTCTTACCAGTGCTTGGGATAGGCCCAGCTCTGCCAGTTCAAACGGCGGTAGAACGTTCAGACTGTCTGGCTGCGACATTCTGCTTACAGTGCGTGGAGCGTGCACCGTGGGCAGGAAGTCCTGGATGGTCTTCTTCGTTGCCCGTACACTGCAGGTGTCTCTCTGATCTGAAAAAGGAACAGGAACAGTACGAATACTCTATGATTCCAATCGGTTACTAGCAAAGTTTTAAAGTTATCTCGGATTAGTTCCTATCTAAATCTCAATCGCAAGGCAAGGCAAGACAACACTGATGTCATCATGACCGGAAGGTTCAAGTGACTCAGGCGCCTCTCAGCGCCTCATAACCAGCTCGTCTTTGGCTCGCTGAGGCGAATGGACTTGGTCAGAGGGAGGGGTCGGGTCGATGGATTGGCAGATATTCATACCGGCATATATTGGAACTCGGGATGCATTCCTCATTGGGCCAGACTTGGAGCAGTAATTGCAATTAAGATCTTGTTTGATCGAGGCAGAAAGACTACCGATTCTGTACTGTCCATCACTGTAACATGATACTATATACAGTCAGAAAGTGCAATAACTAGGCACAAAACTGACAGAGTACTGAAACATTCGACGTCCTGACACCTAGCTTCAACACATCTCCGTAGCGCTAACCGACAGCCTTCCAACTTGGAAGGTTCAAGGTTATGGAAAAGACCAAAGAGGGGAAGGCAAGCGCAACGAAAACGAGCAAAAGCTACAGTCCCAACGGAACAAAGAATGTCGATTGTTACTGGACGATGACGAGACCAGTACGATATTTGACAAAGCGGTCTAACTACAATTCGAAGCAGCAAAGCAGCACACCACCCAACTTGGGTGGGTCATAAATATCAAAGATAAGTAAAGAAAGGGAAGCTTTGCGAAAACGAATTGTACAAGCCGAAAGCCAAACTCCTACAGTACTCCTCATGCATGACATTGTGATGGACTAGTTGACTACAAAACAAGTTGTTTCACACGACGTACGTTTCGCCGTATGGTTCGTGACGGCTCATCAGGTGTGCAATTTGAAACTCGGATGTTGAGCCATAAATAAATGTGGAAGAGAAAAAGACATATGGATACGAGTTAAGAGTAACTCTCCATCACTGTAAAATCGGTTGTGGCGACAAACGCGATTAGGCCGGCTGCAGGGACGCCGTAATGTCGCACTCGCCCCAGCACCATTCAAACAGTTCCCTTTGGCAGTTCACGGCACGAACTTCAACAAAGCCCCGTGAATGCGTACTAGGGGAAGGCTAGACAGCATGTCTCTAGACATCAATAGGCATCGTATGAAAAGCCAGTCAATAGCACTAAAGAGCGAAAGCCTTTGTCACGGTTCGGTTTCACTCGCGCACCGGGCCCGAGCTGCCAGCGCAAACAAATGCCGGGCGCGAGCTGGCAGCACGAACAAACACCGTACTCACACGAGACCGCTGGGCCAACGGATGGCCACAGCCATCAAAAACAGGAACAAACCCATCCACGGCTCTTTCTCTTGCTAGCTGTGCTGCTGCGTGCATCCAACTGTTTTGCAATTTCTTTCTTCCTTGTTGCAATTACTCGGCGAGATTTGAAATTTCTAAAGTTCCGCAGTCGCAGGAGATCCTGAGCCGTCACCATGAGCTCCGTGCCATCACTTTCCGATCTCCGCCAACTCAAAGTCGACGGAGTTGAAACTCGACTGAGAGAACTGGGGCTTTCTTGCTCAGGCAATTTTAGAGCCCAGGTGAGCCGTCTGCATGAGCATTTGTCGGCCCAGGCAAGAAACAAAGCTAAGTCTACGAGCCAGGTCGCAAAAAAGACCACGCGTCGGCGGGCTAGTCCTGCAGTCCCGGCCACTCAAAGCCCCGCGGCCGCGACCCAGCCTGACTCGTCGCCCGCGTTCACGTCGCAGCAATCTGCCGAGATCTCTCGGGTCGTGCAAGATGCAGTGGCGTCCTGCATGACGTCATTGACAACTTCGATGGGTCTACCGGTGGTACCTCCACATGCACAGCCAACTGTAGCAGCAGCAACAGCAGCACAGCGGGCTGGTCCAGTCTCTGGTGATGTTGTGGTGCCTGACTCTGAGCCTGAATATGTCCAGCCTTCACTGGCTTCAGCACTAAGACCAGACCAGGAGAGTCTCTTCCTGGACGGCGATTTGCTCGCCCCAGAGCGTCCACCATCCATCCCATTACCTGCCCTCAGCGACCATCTCACGGACAAGATTATCAAACGTGAGTACGTTGATTTTGGTAGGGTACTGGGAGAGCTGGCTTTTGATACGAGCATGGGTCCGGACAGTGGGTTCACCCTGCAGGGGACGGGGGACCACATCACCCTTGTGCCATCTGCCATGTCGTCGTCATCCCGTCTAAAGAAAGTTGTAGACTTGACATCGTGGTTGGAGGCGTTCTCAGCCTTCGCCCAAGTAGCCCTCCACCACGACCCCGGCAGAGGTCCGGAATTATTCAAGTACCAAAGCACAATCGTGAAAGCGGCCGCACGCTATACATTCGGTGCGTGGTCTGGCTTCGACATGTCGTTCCGTGCAAGAGCTGCACGCAGCAAATCTAGCCTTGCCACGTCAGATCCGGAACTCTGGTCGGAGTGGTTTACAAACTCCATCCTGCCTCCCTGCCGTCACTGCAACCGGCAAGGTCATTTAACAGTTCGCTGCCCCCGCGCCCGTAGCCTAGCTTCACTGTCTGACGGGCCAGCAGCCAAACGCCCCTTTCCGGCACAGCGGTCAGGGGCTACCGCTCACCCAAACGCCCCAGCTGTCTGCCGCGACTACAACCAAGGCCGCTGCCAACGCGCAGCCTGTCGCTACGGCCACCAGTGCAGCACATGCTTTGGCAGCCACCCCGCCAAGTCATGCCCAGGAAAGCCAGCCGCCGCCAGCCGCGACCAATAGCTCGCAGTTGCCCAGCTTGGAGACTCGGTCACTCCAGTCACTCACCGGTAACTCTACACTCACCCAGGCCAATAGCACTCACACACTCTGCCCAGCTGCTCACATCTCTCCTACACGCACCCTCGCTCACGAGCCAATCCATTTGCACACGCCTGTAACCCCCATTAACGTTTCTTACCTGCAGGACGCTTTGTGTCAGCATCCTGATCCGGCTTTTGCCTCATTCGTAATACATTCTTTGTCTTACGGGTTCGATATTGGGTTTGCTGGTCCCCGTACCTTCCTAGTCTCTCGTAATCTCAAATCAGCGATTGAGCACCCTGACATTGTCGATGCTGCCATCGGTCGTGAAATTGCCGCAGGTCGCATGGCCGGTCCCTACCAAGAGCCCCCCTTCACACTTACACAGGTCTCCGGTTTGGGTGTGGTTCCCAAGAAGTCACGGTCGGTGCAAAAATGGCGCTTGATTATGCATCTGTCAGCACCACAGGGCCACTCAGTGAACGATGGTATCCCTGTCGACAAATTCTCTGTACAGTACTGTTCGGTCGACGACGGCGTAAATCTCGCACGGTCCCTAGGCCGTGGCTGCCATCTGTGGAAGGTCGACCTCCAAGACGCATTTCGCATTTGTCCAGTACGGAAAGAGGACTGGGAACTATTATGCCTGTTCTGGCGCGGGCAATATTACGTGGACAAATGCCTACCCTTCGGCCTTCGCTCATCACCGTCGCTGTTTAACAAAGTCGCAGACGCCCTCCAGTGGGTCATGTCGCACAACTTCGACGTAGCCCCAGTCATCCACTACTTAGACGACTACCTTGGTGGAGCGACGGACTCTATCGGCGCACAGCACCAGCTTGACCGTGCCCTGGTAGCCTGCCACGACTTAGGCTTCCCGGTCAATCCAAAAAAGGTGGAAGGCCCTAGTACAACCCTGACATTCCTCGGTGTCATGCTGGACACAGAGCGCTTCGAAATCCGCCTCCCATCCGACAAGTTAGAAGACCTTCTCATTGCCCTCAAGGCTTGGCAACATACCCGCCCTACCGCCCGCAAGTCTGAATTGTTGTCCCTGATAGGTCACCTCAGCTTTGCCTGCAAGGCGGTCCCTGCGGGCCGCATGTTTCTGCGCCGCCTCATTGATCTCAGCACGACGGTCCCGCATCCAAACGATTACATCAGAATCACAGAAGACGCCAAAGCAGACATCCAGTGGTGGCTTGACTTCCTCCCTGCCTGGAATGGCGTCGCCTTCTTCCTAGAACCCACGTGGTCAGCCGCCGCCGATATGGACCTCTACACGGACGCATCTAGAGCCATCGGCTATGGTGCTTTCTTCGCCGGCCGGTGGCTCCAACACCGGTGGCAGAGGCACCAATCCCAGAGATCCATCGCGTGGATGGAGCTCTTTGCCATCGTGGCCGCAGCATCCACATGGGCACCGCAGCTGCATCTGAAGCGCATCCGCTTCCACTGCGACAACCGTAGCGTATGCGACATCTGGCTCCGCTCACGCACAAAGTGCCCCGACTTAATGGCGCTGGTACGCACTTTGTTTGCCATTGCTGCCCGACACAACTTTCACGTCATAGTCTCCCACATCCCCGGCACTGACAATGCGATTGCTGACTCTCTGTCTCGGTTTCAGATGGCCCGATTTCGCCGACTGGCACCCACAGCAGAAGACACGCCATCTCCGGTGCCCGAGAGCACCTACTCCCTCTGATGTTGGAGGGTCAGGCCTACCAGTGGCTAGGCCTGTCAGCGTCCACACGTGCCACATACGCGACAGCCTGGAAACGACTGCACCAATTCTGCCAACTAGTCGGCACCAAGGTGATTACAGACACCATCATGCTGGCGTTTGTAGCCTACCTGGCGCGTCAACATGCCGCGTCAACCGTCCGCCTGTATGTGTCGGCGATCCGGGCAATTGCCAAAGAAAACGGCAAAGATCTCTCGTCGCGAAGAGTGGACCTCGCAGTTCAAGGAGTGGCACGTGCACAGGCCAACCGAACTAAAAACGCCAGTAAGCCAATCCTCCTGCCCCACATGGCAGCTATGCGCAGGGCCCTGATACGGTCTAACCTCAACGCGACCGACCGAGCCATGGTATGGGCAGCTATTTGCCTGGGCTTCTTTGCGTGTCTCCGGGCAAGTGAGTACACTTCCACAACCGCCACGACCATGTCAGACGGTGGCCTCCGAACAGAAGACCTCTCCATCACGCCGCAGGCAATACAGGTCACAATCAAGAAGTCCAAGACCGACCAACTCGGCAAGGGTCACTCCGTCCGGCTCACAACCACCAACTCAACGGTTTGCCCGGTCAAAGCCATGCATACCTATCTATCAAGACGCCCCAACCTGCCCAATAGACCACTGTTCGTTGACAGCTGTGGCAAGTTCCTAACTGCACCAAGACTCACCCGTCTAATCCGTCAGCTACTGAGCAGCGCAGGGTACCCACCTATCCAGTATTCACTGCACGGCCTCAGAGCCGGAGCCGCAACCACAGGAGCAATGAGCGGCTTCACCGAATCCGAGATCATGAAACTCGGCAGATGGCGAAGTGCCTGCTACAAGAACTATGTACGCTGTGGAAAGTAACTGTTCGCCGTCCGCAGGCGCGCAAGCGCGCACAGCCACACCCACATACACGCACCCGCAGACACATACACACGCACGCACACACACCCACGCATGCACACACACATGCATGCACGCGTACACGCACCCACAGTCTGACACCGCACAAGCATGCATGCAGGTACACACGCTGCGCACACGCTGGTACGCCCATTCGCGGACGTATGCACTCACGTTCTAGCACTGACTGTGCACGCACGCCTCTGATACTTATGATAAGTTATCTGCACCACTCTGTTGCTGTGCTATAGCTCCCACCTAGCGGTGTGGGACACCCCATGCTATGGCGGTGTGGGACACCCCAGACCATGGCGGTGTGGGACACCCCATGCCATGGCGGTGTGGGACACCCCATGCCATGGCGGTGTGGGACACCCCATGCCATGGCGGTGTGGGACACCCCATGTGTGCACGCACGCTCCGACTACATGCGATTCAAACCCTTCTCGGTGTCACTAAGGGAAAACAAACATGCGAAGGGCACGCATTTGAACTACGTACATGTAGCTGAAGCGCTTGAATACCACACTAAGGTCATTCGGCTGACCAACGCGGAATTTGGGGGCATTCGGCGGCTTGGTCTGATTCCTAGCTTGTTGGTAACCGGCTTGAGGTTTCCAAGGTTGCTATGACAACGTGCAGTCATGCGCAGGGCCACCCAACATGCGTTGGGGGCCCAGGAAAGACAGAAACGCGTTGCTAGGCAACAGCAAAAGCGCTCAGCGAGTATCACGCTACTCATGCAGCACGCACGCTGGCTTAGGGTATCACGCTACCCTTGCGCTGCGGGGTACCACATTGCCCCTCGCTGGAATCAGACCCGCGCCCCGGATACCTTGCGCTGGCCTCCTGACGGCCAAACTCAACCAACTTGCGCGCTGTGACTGGGGTTGTGCATGCCTTAGCAACATAATGTGGCCCAGGTCGGCAGACTTTCAATTAGCCAAGCGAGCTACTCAGGCCAGGGCGCATGATCACTATTCGCAGCACTTATCGTCCATGCAGCAGTCGGGTTAAAATCGGTTGTGGCGACAAACGCGATTAGGCCGGCTGCAGGGACGCCGTAATGTCGCACTCGCCCCAGCACCATTCAAACAGTTCCCTTTGGCAGTTCACGGCACGAACTTCAACAAAGCCCCGTGAATGCGTACTAGGGGAAGGCTAGACAGCATGTCTCTAGACATCAATAGGCATCGTATGAAAAGCCAGTCAATAGCACTAAAGAGCGAAAGCCTTTGTCACGGTTCGGTTTCACTCGCGCACCGGGCCCGAGCTGCCAGCGCAAACAAATGCCGGGCGCGAGCTGGCAGCACGAACAAACACCGTACTCACACGAGACCGCTGGGCCAACGGATGGCCACAGCCATCAAAAACAGGAACAAACCCATCCACGGCTCTTTCTCTTGCTAGCTGTGCTGCTGCGTGCATCCAACTGTTTTGCAATTTCTCCCTCCCACCCACGCCTCTTGATCTGTCCTAGCTCACTATTCTGGACAAATATTAATTCAATTGCAATGAAGCGCCGGGGGCCGGCGGGGGCATTCGGCGGCTTGGTCTGATTCCTAGCTTGTTGGTAACCGGCTTGAGGTTTCCAAGGTTGCTATGACAACGTGCAGTCATGCGCAGGGCCACCCAACATGCGTTGGGGGCCCAGGAAAGACAGAAACGCGTTGCTAGGCAACAGCAAAAGCGCTCAGCGAGTATCACGCTACTCATGCAGCACGCACGCTGGCTTAGGGTATCACGCTACCCTTGCGCTGCGGGGTACCACATTGCCCCTCGCTGGAATCAGACCCGCGCCCCGGATACCTTGCGCTGGCCTCCTGACGGCCAAACTCAACCAACTTGCGCGCTGTGACTGGGGTTGTGCATGCCTTAGCAACATAATGTGGCCCAGGTCGGCAGACTTTCAATTAGCCAAGCGAGCTACTCAGGCCAGAGCGCATGATCACTATTCGCAGCACTTATCGTCCATGCAGCAGTCGGGTTAACATGATACTATATACAGTCAGAAAGTGCAATAACTAGGCACAAAACTGACAGAGTACTGAAACATTCGACGTCCTGACACCTAGCTTCAACACATCTCCGTAGCGCTAACCGACAGCCTTCCAACTTGGAAGGTTCAAGGTTATGGAAAAGACCAAAGAGGGGAAGGCAAGCGCAACGAAAACGAGCAAAAGCTACAGTCCCAACGGAACAAAGAATGTCGATTGTTACTGGACGATGACGAGACCAGTACGATATTTGACAAAGCGGTCTAACTACAATTCGAAGCAGCAAAGCAGCACACCACCCAACTTGGGTGGGTCATAAATATCAAAGATAAGTAAAGAAAGGGAAGCTTTGCGAAAACGAATTGTACAAGCCGAAAGCCAAACTCCTACAGTACTCCTCATGCATGACATTGTGATGGACTAGTTGACTACAAAACAAGTTGTTTCACACGACGTACGTTTCGCCGTATGGTTCGTGACGGCTCATCAGGTGTGCAATTTGAAACTCGGATGTTGAGCCATAAATAAATGTGGAAGAGAAAAAGACATATGGATACGAGTTAAGAGTAACTCTCCATCACTGTAACATGATACTATATACAGTCAGAAAGTGCAATAACTAGGCACAAAACTGACAGAGTACTGAAACATTCGACGTCCTGACACCTAGCTTCCCCCCAAGTTGGAAGGCTGTCGGTTAGCGCTACGGAGATGTGTTGAAGCTAGGTGTCAGGACGTCGAATGTTTCAGTACTCTGTCAGTTTTGTGCCTAGTTATTGCACTTTCTGACTGTATATAGTATCATGTTACAGTGATGGAGAGTTACACTTAACTCGTATCCATATGTCTTTTTCTCTTCCACATTTATTTATGGCTCAACATCCGAGTTTCAGATTCTGTACTGGTTCTGAATTTGAATATCAGTCATGATTTGCTTTTCTGACTTACTTGTGAATGACTTTGTGTAGTCGTTCACTGTTGATGGAGGCTGGCTTGTCATTGGAGAAGTCATCGGCGAGACAGACGTGATTGGCAGTGAGGCCGTTCGGTTGGAGCTCTTACCTGGCAGGGATAAATTGAAAAGTGCACAGCATGTTAGATGTAGATGTAAATTGCAGGTACGGGAGGAAAACCTCCCAACAACACCAAAGTACACTGCTTTGATAGGGTCACGGCCTGCTTTTCAGTCTTCACCGTCTTGCAGCTGCAGGTAGCCGGAGCCTTACTGGTGCATTCAGGGGTGTCGGAAGGCCTAACTGGTCCACAGGCACAGACCATGTCATATGCCCGTGCAATGCGCCAGAATTAGTAAGCATTTGCAATTCCTGCTCTATACCAACTGCCACAGTAGATCCTCAAATTAGCAAAAATCACTGGAGGCCAGCAATACTAGTATACATGAACTATGCATGTGATCATACTTCACTATTACAGGCGCATTACACCGCCGTTGGAGGTCCTCCGTGAACATTTTGAAATTGGGGTGCAATATCTTGCATTCTGGGCACTTTTGGCATTGTTTAAAAAAAGTGGTCCGGCCGAAGCCGGACCGGCTGCTGTGCGCCTGTAATATTATAGTCTGCCACTTGTTCCGAGTGTATCCCCAGTTTCCCCAGAAAGAGTCTGTCAGAGTGCCTATGAGTCTGTTAATGCGTACCAGCCAATGAGTGAGAATTCTCCCCGCATGGAGAGCCGAAGCAACGTATTGTGATGAGCCCAAGGCCATACCTAGCCAAGTCACAGGTGTTACAACTTATGAGTCACACCCACCGGCCCACAAGACCACATGAATTTCGCCCTTTCCACAGTTGTCTTTGCAATACGGCCACCGTGGTTGGTTTATGCTCGTTCTCTCTGAATTACTGCAGGAATACATGTTTCAGTGGTGTGTATCTCACACGTGAGATGTCCTCATGTATAGACGAGAGAGTATGTGCACAATCATGGATCCTTGTTTTCACCATGGCTGTACCCCTTTTTTGCAATGGTTAGCTCCGCCAGTTAATGCATTTTGCCGCCTCAGCATCAACTACATGTGTGTGTTGTTGCAAGGTCTAGCTTTCCAGGCATTGCAGCCGTTCACCCGTCACACACTCCCTCTGGCAACGTTGGCTGAGTAGGCGACGTGACAACACCATGTACGTGTCAACTGCACTATAGGACCATGTGGTGTAACACCCTATAGAAAGTGACTCGGGAATGATTATTGTTGTTGGAAACTCACCATGAAATGCGCTGGCAATTGGATACTGGAATAGGAACGCTCTCTCTTCACTCAAAGGCACAGAGGATATGGATCGCCGAGTGGTATTGGAACCAGCATCGATGAACACTTTCAGGTCTTTACTCGGTCCCATTCTGATCACATCGCTGGGAGGTTGAGGCATCGTAAACTGTATCACACAATTCTGGAATAGATCAAACGAAACAATATTTTGTTTATATACACGAGGCTTGTTTGTTTGTTTGTATTTATTTGAATTCGCAGCTTCAAACGGGCAAGAACCCAATAACATGAAAGCGAGTGTGATGATGGCTACGGCCATAGGGAGAATAAGGACAATAGACAGCTAAACGAGGCGGTATAGATTGGAAGAAGATCAGAAACAACCAGGCACACCAACAACAATGAACCGTAGCACTATTCGGACACTTTCACCAGTACATGTAAATTCCTGAACGTTTTCAGAGCCTTCTCATCAGAGGAAACGTGATACGATTTGTACACTGCATGAGGATATACACAATCTGTAATCTGTTTCTCCCTGGTGTGTTTATCTATAGTTTTCCTTCAGCAGTGTTTCTGCTAAGTATTTTCCCTAGTCCCTTTTCACTTCCCTTTCGTCTCATCCACCCTTCCAGAAAACTCCCCCCCCCCCCCCTCCCACCGATAAGTATCCATTTACTTTGGAGAATCCTTCAAATAAAGTCTAATTTTTTATTATTTTTTTAACTCCAGACAGCTAGCTGCTTCGACCTTCTTAGGTGCCGTCTGAGGAGCTCATACTCTCATAGTGACTGGCCAAATGGGGGCGCGATGAAGTCCAGTGAACCGCAAAGCATCAGGATAGACATGACTAGACTCGGGAGGAGAGCCAAGGATTCATTTATAAGAAGAAAAGAGGACCAAAAGCGTAACTTGTAGCTCTTTTCTTCTTATCAATAGACATGACTGTATTTCCTTCCATTCTTAGGGCCGTTTCACACGAGGTATACATGGCTTTTCACGAATGGGCGTTCTAGGCACAGTACACAGCGCGTGATTTCACACGAGTGTCGCAACATGCTTTTCAAGCAGCAGTTGCCATGGCAGCTTTGACCTGCCTCGCACAGAAGTCGTAAAATACGGAATCCGCACGCGAACGCGGGAGTTTTGAACACAAAATAATAATAATTATTATTAGTTTGGCAAGGAGTTGTTCTCTCCCTGATTCTCGTTTTCTTTGATCGCCACAAGGAGAGAAAGATGAACGGACGAGAGAGGTTGCAAAGGATGGCGAGGCGTAGAAGGACTGCATTGCCCTCGCTTGTTCAAAGTGTAATTTCAAGTTTTTCTCTGGATTCAACCATCCCGAGCGGAACGCAGCATTGAGTTTCTCAGCGATCTCCCTTTCCCTCACAATACGCTTCACCATCTGGCCACTTTTTGACTTTTGATAGTCGGCCCACAACTCAATAAGTCTAGCCTCCAGGTCATCAGAGAATATTTGGTGAGGCATTGTCCGAAACGGAAGGCACAACCAGCAACCAGCAATGAAAGCAAACAGAAGCAAAAAAGCAAACACGACGACAGATCACAATGCAAGGAAAACGAAGTTTGTCAGTAGAACGCTGGGTATATCCTGCTTTCTACACCCCTCCTGGTCTTGCTGAAAACGTACACGATGCGTTTCACATTTCGCGCCAAAAGTGCTCCATCTCCTAGGGAACATAACCGGAAACGTGACATGTACGCGATTTTGTACCTCGTGTGAAACGGCCCTTAGATCACATATGGGCCACAATTACCGTAGGCAGGTAGGGAGAGCCACGACTAACATGCCATGCATTGCAATGGTTTAATTTAGCACGTTCTCTTACATGTGTACAGTGAACAACACATTCCTCCGGCGGGATTGTCACTTGCCAGACGCTCTTATCTTAAATGTACACGCAACAGAGAAAAATACATATCAGTGCATTGTCCAGAAGACTGCCGGGAGCAAATGCAATGACAAACAAGCAGTGACACATGTTTCAACACTGCAAACACCTATTGGACAACTATCACTGGTCCCGTTTCTCGTTACAGTGTGCACTGTGGTGCTTTTGGCCTGGTTGAAGTTGAATTCGGTGTACAAGGCAAATAGATGGATAACTAGGGGGTGGGGTGGAGAGGGCCTCCAGATTCACATACAGTGAGACCTGTCTAAGACGACCGCTCAAGGGACCTTCAAAATGTAGTCTCTGTTACCAGGTGGTCTCCTTGTCCAGGGTCATTTGACTGAAAATAGCACCCCTTGGTCCTGGTTTCAGTGGTCTTCTAGGACAGGTGGTCGCCTTATCCGAGTGGTTGCCTTGACAGGTTTTACTGTATAAACAAAGGATGGCACTGGGATCTGTCTCTCACCTGCTCTCTGCTGGAATACTCGAAAGTGTGTGCCTGAACAGAACACAGAACACAAGAGAATCACTCAACGCCGGCAATGGTGAACGCTTGGAAGATCCAGGAAAGCAATGCCAGTACTTGGCAAATTCATGGTTGTTCCTTCTTGTTATTCATATCACCCACACCCATACATGGTTCATGATGTAGTTTTCAAAACAGACCCAAGCTACATGCTACTCACTCGGGAGGAAGTCTTTCCCCATAGCCAGAACTTTCACGGACGCACCGGCAGCCGAGCGATCGGCTAATTGGAGCACCTGCGTGACCACAGGTTTGGACACAGCTTGCGTTGAGCTTACTGTAACACACACACACACGCGCGCGCGCGCGCGCGCACAAGCACACACACACACACAATGTACAATGTAGACACAAACAGACGAGGGAGATCATAACCAATACTGCGCTATAACATCAGTGTGAGGTCAAGGCTTAGACAGTGAGATGTCTGAGCCAGCTCGGAGTGAAGTGACACACACAGATCAACGTGAGAAGATCACTGGTGAGATAACAATTAACATCCATCCTGAAATGGCATGCTTTCTAGAGGCAGCTACTGCTCAGCCTTGGACGGTTCCTTGCCATTATCTAAACAATCATGTCACAATGATACCTCTTCAACTTGACCACGTGTGACTAAAATCCACGCAGTCTGCATTCTTTTTGTTGAAAGAAAAAATAAGAAGCCGCTTTCAGATGTTTTGATCCAGTTAAAATTCGAGCTCTCCACCACTATATGGTCCACCCAGGTCCAATAGTAGTGGGGAAATCGAGGCAAAAGCCTGAACGGTGAGAACATGTGGTAGAGTAAGCTGAACAATAATTATGACAATGTTCAACTGCATCCTGGCTGTGTGAAAGCCGAGACCAGTTGCTCTGCTGAGCTGAAGGGTCTTGCCACCACACTGATGATCTCCTCTTCACTGCGAGCACCGTGATGAGCACTTTTAAAAATATGCTCAATAGAAACCACTGTTCTGGATACAGTCAGTATTCTCTTTTCACTCACATCCTGTGCAAAAGCAGTGACCGTGTGCTCCACACGGTTTGTGGCGATGTTTTGATTGTACTATCACATAGCCATGGCAGATGTAAGGAGTTCATGCAAGCCTGTAAGGTTACCAACACTCTAAACAGTAGATCTACGACTACACTTACTGCATTTGATGGCTCCTGACTGGAGTGTTACCGGGGTGGATTGGTGCGGAATGTGCGCGGTGACGGTCAGGTTAAAATAGTTTGTTTGACTGGCGGCCAGCCCCAGTCGTCCACTGTCACCTCCAGCCTCGCGTTGGAGGCGCACCACGCCGATGTGCTTGAGGCTAAAAACGGGAGAGAAAAGAAGACAGGAAGGAAGCAGATGAGAGGCGGCCATGACTTTATTATTAATATGAACAATGCTAGTAACAGTATAGCAGCTTCACTTCAGACAGTCGCTGCACTTATCTTTACTCTTGCATCTGCAGTGCAAAGCCTGCGGCAATATTCGTTAGTGACAGTGTTGAAAGCCAGCGACATATCGACCATTCTACTGTTGACTGAAGTGAAGACCAGGGAGCTATACCCAACGGTTTGGGTACGATTCCCTGCTGAAGACTACGTAAATGCCGACTTCACAAACTGACGAAATAATTATCAGGCACAAACGTTTCCAAAATCACCAAAATGCAAAAATGGCAGACTCAAATCAGCAGAAAGCAGCTAGCAGCAGTAGCGTCACACCAGGGAGTCGTATACCGCCGGTAATCATGGTAATACGACTCCCTAACAATGCGGCTCCCTGCGTCACACTGTGACTTACTCGCATGTGTTCTCTTGCTCCGGCCTCAAGACGAACCGCAGTGCCTGGGAGCCGTCGCTCAGCGGAACGCCGTGGCAGCTGGTGGGCGCGTCACGTCCGGCGGTCTTGCAGAAGAACAGCGGATGGGACTGGCCGTCGGAGGTGGTGGCACTCACATCCAAGTGCACTGCTTCACGCTCACCATATCCGGTCAGCTGAGAGAGAGAGAGAGAGAGAGAGAAGGAGAACATTCATGTAGATCGACATGTAGATGAGTCTGCACAGCATGGTACTCGTACTGGGTCAGGAAAATATCAACGCCATTCCCAA